AGAAGTAGGAATGACTGCCGTGATGGCATACAAAGTTTCACAAAACTATATAACTTGTTCAAAAGTCATTAGGGGAGGAATGTAAACGAAGACATAATTATACCACTGGCCTATTTTACTTTATCAGTGAGAAAAGCAGGATAATGAAATAAAACATTTTGATTACTGAAGTACTACCCAAAACATGATCATGTACAGTCTTGTGTGATGTGAAGCTTTCATGGCTGATGTCATTAATAAAAAACTCTGCAGAGACCAGGTGATCCAGCTGCTGGCCCAAGAAGATTTTATTAATGTAGTCTTGTTTGAGACTCAAACAGAGCTTCAGAACAGGAGTCTGATGCAGTACCACTTTAAGAAGCAGAAGGGACCAAAACATGGGCTCCAAAATCTTATGGAGCCTCAAATTTTCAACACTTCTGAAGTGTACTGGATGGTTTAGGGGTATTACACTGCATTTCAGTGGCAACATTCACATCCCACAAGGTAACATTTTGTATTACATCACTGAAAACCAATACTTTTTGAATACTTCAGCTGCTGATTTGTGATTCATCTTTGATTTGACTTCGTTCAGCTGGAACTGCTTTTTTATTTCTTCCACTGCCACCTTATATGAAGCCTTGTTTTCATGTGGTGATTTCAACAGATTTATCACATAATCATTGACAGGTGGTATTTCTGCATCTGGATTCATGGCTCTGTATGCAAGACTGTGGTACACATGCTGATGGTAAGGATTCACCACGCTCTTTGACTTGAAAGCCTCAGACACTTCGCCATATTCATTTCTGAAACAAAGATGGAGCAACAAGGTATTTCTAACTGTATTATTTATTACTATTATTTTTTCATTATTCTCACAATCTATTTTTTGTTCCCAGAGACTTAACTTTTATGATATGGATATAGCAGATTTAAAGTCTGTGTATTCTATGAAGGTAAGTGAGAATTCAATTAGTTAAGCATTTCATTGCATCATCATAAAAAAGTTACTAGATCCTGTTATTAACATACTTCCTGTATTCCTATGCACAACCAGCTGTATCACTTGTAAACACGGATGCTTCATCAACAAAGGTTAATGATCCATACAAACTATATCTACAGTAAGTTCTACAAGTATCAGACACCTAAAAAATAAGATCTGATAGGATACCAAAACAATTTTACTTACTTACACACAGGCAGAAATTTAGAAGGGCATTCAGAAAGAGGGGCAGATTCTGCTTTTTAATACCTGTAACAGCCAACTAGGTCTAATGCTTGGAATGATGTACATGAGACAGGTAACTCTGTAGAAATATAAAGTGAAAATTCAACATGAATAGTATAAAAATTCATTACTGGACATGATTCTAACCAACTTCATTATTGGTGAATAACAATAAAATCCAAAAGTTTTTAAAGAAATGTACAAACTTGACAGCTTGTAGATCCATGATGTCTATCAAAGCATCTACTGAGTCTAGCTGCTCCTTTGTTGGTTTGTTGGTGTCTGAAACAATGGGTGGGAACACAAATTCTCTCATGTCTTCTGAATAAGGTAGTTCTATAAATACCAGACACTGAAACAGAAAGAAAATGTTATTCTCCTGCTTACCCTTTTCTGTTTCATAAAATACTTCATCAAATGGAAAGGTCATATAGCATCCAATGGTAGGACAGTTGTAAATAACGAATTATGAAGATTACAGAAGGAAGCAGTAGCGACCCTTTTAAGATACAATCCCAACATCTGCCAGAAAGAATGGAAAAAAATAAAAAAAATAAACAGGACTGGAAAAGTACACACAAGAGGCACATATGGCAGAAAGAATGGAGAAGAACTCTACAATTTATGTTTTCTTATAAAACAAAATACAAAATTAATTTTCTTTCCATTCTTAAGCAATGGCACTATAATGCACTAGACTGATTTATAAATATTTGAACCAAGCTGCAGTTCAGTCGCATTGCATTGAACATGGAAATAGAAACGTTCTCTGAAATATTGGAAAATCAGCACATAAAAGCAAGTTAACCAAGAACATAAATAAGATAACCTACAAACTGATGTGAAAGCCTGAAGAAATCTAAAATCTAAAGCAACCAGCACTATCAATGAAATTAAAACTTAGAGAAAACATACCTCATATTCAGATGCTATTCTTGGGAATAGAGCACCAAGGACAGGCTTTGTATTGATCCGATATACTTTTCTTGCTATGGCAACCAACTTTTCTTCGTCCAAGGCATGTATCAGGGAGGAAAGGGCAACTTCTGCTGACTGTGAAAGACAAATGAAGAAATACAGACAGCATGAATAGGAAGAACATTGGCCAATGAAACTGGTTCAATGGCAGCATTACATATTAGATATGTCATTATTTACACCACATCATGGCCAATGACATCAGCAGGGCTATTAAAGGAATACAAAATGCAACAATTATATCAAACGCATAAAGTTTGTGTATACTTCCTAAAAATTGATATCTATGAAATGGTGATATCGGGGAAGATCAATGCTTGTGTACTATTTCATAAGGAGTCACAAACCAAGACCAACAAGTGTCGTCATATTCTGTGACAGTGATGCAACATCAGTTTGTTGACTCAACATGGATTGGCCCTTCGGGAAAGGGATAACTTTACCTTTACTACTAGATGAATCAAAAAGATTTTCGTAGTCATACTTTGAAACCAGATCAGCATACAGAAATATTCAAAGGTAAAGTTAGCATACTTACACTGTCGCCTCTCTGAGCTGTGATATACAGGATACCTCTCCCCATAAACAGATGTCTCGGAACGTTTCTCAACTTTGTAAAGCCCAAAACACTGAAACATTTGTCTCCAGAATTATAGCTCATCATGGCTTTGTCAACATCTACAAAAAAGATTACAAGTTGATGATTTTCTAAATTTAAACATCTGGAAACAACAAAGCAAAAGAAAAAAGTAAAACTGTCCCACTATATACCATGTAGGCTTGGGGGGACAGAATGTTAGCTCCTACTCATTCTTAATCTTGGCACTAGGTGGAGGTGAGTGGATGGCATCATGCCCTGGCTGCGCTCTACCCCCAGGAAAGGACCCAGGTACCTATTGGATAGAAGGCTGGGTGGGCTCCAGAGTCGGTCTGGACGCAGAGGAAAAATCCTTTGCCCCCATAGGGGATCAAACCTTGGTCATCCAGTCCATAGCCAGTCACTATATTGACTAAGCTACCCCAGCATTTACAAATCATGTATGATATAAAATTTGAAAATACCTGAGAAAGGCACCAGGGTGGTACCAAAGCTGAACCCTTCTATTACATCATCCCTATCAATAACAGTCTGATTCTCATCTTGTCTGATGTACGACGTTTCAGACTCTACACGAGCTCCTTCCTCTAATGATGAAGAAGTTTTCCAAGAAGGTAATGTAGCTGGAGTTATCTGTTTGTACAGAAGTTTCCACCCATTTACTACAAATGGACAACAGTACAGAAGAGTCTACAGCTTTTATATTGTTATATAAAACAATAATCAACTGGATAAGCGGACAAACCTTTCGATAACCTGACACAGCTATTCTGATGTCTGGCCCAATGTCCATTACAACATTCCATGGTGTGGGACGAATATTCCTCTTTTGGAAGTACATTAATTGAGGTACAGCATCAGAAAAACTACAGATGACACCATCAGTCTAAATTGGTTGAAAATAAATCTGTTTGTAGTGAGCAAACAAACATACAAAACAGACAATGATGAAAAATGTTCACAGCTCTACTAGTATCAGAATTTCAAAAGATGCACAAACACAGCAACAGGAAAGAAAATTATGCTTTATTACTTGTATCTCCAATGGAATTTAAGAAACGAGAGGAAATAAAAGAAACGACAGGAAATAAAAGAAACGACAGAAAATAAGACACAGAAAGAAGGAATTAAGTACACGGACAAAACATAAATGAGAATGATACAAAAAAGTAGATGGATAGAGAGCAGAAAGAAATGAGGGAGAAAAGTACAGAAAAGAAGAGGGCTAACAAATAATAAAAGTATGTAGAAAAATGCCAAAAAGATCACTCATACTAATTTCTTGCAATATTCTATAAAAAAGAAGGTTAGTACCCAAGAGCCACCCACAATCAGTTTCAGAAAATTACAATTCAACAAAATAGAAAGTGAAAGGTGTACTCAAAATCAACGTATGTTTCTTCACTCATTACACACCCCATTACTACATGTAATATTTACAAAATTACCTCTCTAAGTACGTGATATAAGAGTGATTCTCCAACTAACTGTTGTTTAGTTTTAGATTTCTCAGCATCAATACCATTTGTCCAGCATTTTGTTCCATCATCATCATCCATGGTTTCTTGTTTGATGCTCAGGTTTACATCGGGTCCTCTGTAGACATATAGCAAAGGGTGTGGCATTTTTAACATAAAGAGTGTTGGATTTCTCAGACAAACTATAAAAACAGGTTTGAACTCACAAGCATCCTACTGCACATCCCCATCAGCCATTTTGTGTACTTGTTCATGATCTTCTCTCCCAGCACAAGTTAGGTTACCAGCTTCTCCTGATTATAATTTTCAGCATTTTACACACAAGAAGGAAGTATGGTAGTGAAATTTAATTTACTTATAGAAGGGCTTAATCAAGAACCTTCAGGAGCAATGGTACTCAGAAGCTACTAAGAATGTCTTTTGCGTCAGAAGTTACATTTTCAGCAACAATGTGTAAATGACATAGTTATAACTTTTAAATAAAACATTAATGTGCCAATTAGTAACAGTTAAAGATAGTGCGTGGGTAGAGTGATGAAGAAGGGGATATTAAAAAGTATGGCAAGATCAAAGAGGCAGTTTCCTAATTTCTTTAAAAAATGTGACTTAAATTGTATATAAATGCACTGAAGAAGGGACACTTACATTGCTATCAAATTTACTTCTTCACTCTTCACAGCTTTAATAATAGTGTCTACTTGATCTTCAGATACGGTGGTGTCAAGGTTGGATAGCAGCACCACTTTTCTCTCAGAAAATTTCTTTCCTCTGAAAATAGTTTATTCTTGGGTTACTTGACAGTTACTGAAGACATTATACAGCACAAGAGTAGGTGGGAATATGATCATGAAATTTGACTAAAGATATGGAAGTAATCATCTGCATTTCGCTAAAGAAAACGAGTAAAACTACAAGTCAGGATAGCCACACCCAAAAGCAGAGAATCAAAATACAAACATTGTGTATAAAATTCTACAGCACTATAGCAACACCAAAATGCTTTATTCCCCAAAAATGTTCAAAAATTTATAAAACAAATCACCTACTTGCTAACATCACTTTATCTGAGGATCATGGTCTTCTAGAATATGACACTATGTAATCTTGTAAGTGGTTACCACCATTTGGGGGAAACACGACAGCCTACATCTTCAGGGTATAATGCACAATGAAAACCAAAAATCTCATCACTTGTATATATTTATGACTTTATATTTGCAAGAAGATGTGAAATGGACTAAAGTAACTCAAGACAGTGTTCAGTGATGAGATCTTGGTGACTGTCCTTCAGATTGGTTAACACATATATGCCACAAAATATGTTGCGTGCACATTCACCCTGAAGATGGCAACTGTAATATTTGCTAAAATGTTGAATAATACTCAACACTCAACGTGGCTCATCCCCAAAAGAGAAATCCAACAATGAATGCCTAAATACAAGAATGTTATGATTGATGGATTCTGTAATTATGCTGTCTCATTGCCAGAGATTATAAATTATGGAATGAGATGGCAGGTATTACTATTAGTATTACTGTAATGACAACAAACAACAACAATCATCATTGTGGTTTTTGTTGCTGTTAATAATTATTATAATAATATATAACATACACAGTTTCCTCTTTTAAAAAGTCTACTGCAACAACAATTGCATCAATCCAATCAGCATCCACCACGGTCTCTTTCAAGTCCTCTACAAACTGTACCATTTCCCAAGATGGCAAGCCCAGTGAATGGGCAACACTGATGTTTTTATAATTCAAGTTGTTATTTGTTTCTTCAGAACCCAGAAGTATCAATGCTACTTCATCCTTCAAATTGGCAAAAATCTGAAACATTGCATCCAGTTCTACAGATGAAGACTAATTCTACTTACACCTAAAATTAAACCACACAGATTTAGATAGACTCCAAACCATATTTGCTAGGATTCATTCTGTCTCTCCACGTTCTTCAAAACGATGGTTCTTGTACATCTTCAGTGTTACCCTAACATATTAATTCTACATGACACGATATATATCTGATGCTTACACATTCACTTTCTCTTACAAGAATCAAAAACAGAGCCTTGCTCATTACAAAATCTTACCTTTCTCTTCAGTATCATAGACACACACTGTCTAGCATTTTCTAAAAATCCCATCTTCTTATCTTTTACAACACTTGAGATTGAATGTCCAACATCCACAATTATAACAATGGCTTCCTACAACATTAAATGCAGTTACTTATATTAGGAATGTAGTTTAGATTTAATATACTTTGTACTTCCTCAATGTGTTTAACTCAAGCATAGATGGGCATCAAATCCTACTCGTCAAAATTATTTTCTTGCTTGCAACTGTAAACATTACTTTATTCTTGGAAATAACATATTACTTTTGTGCAGATTCGATGTTAACTTTATTAGTAATGTTTATATTCTATTGTCAAAGAAAATTATATATTTTTAACTCAAACTGAAAGCTAAATGAAAACTTTTCCATGACAGCCATATTACTGTTTTACATTCTGCACAAAATTATTTTAACAAATGTTTCTTGCCATTCAAAGATCTATAACCATACATAATTTTAAAACACCAAATTAACCCTTTAAAGCTGAGTGGTAACTATATGTACCAAATACTTTAACAGTAACTCTGCATTGTATATTTGTAGGTTTAATATAAGATTTTCTTTGTGGTATGTACTGAATTCTTAATATTATTTAGATGTGTGTCAGCTTCAAAGGGTTAAGTGATGCTTCACTTCACAAGTCTGTGTATTCATCATGTTATTAATAAGTAAAGTAAAGTAAAGTAAAGTAAAGTAAAAGTAAAGTTTGTCCACTATACACCATGTAGGCATTTGGGGTGAGTGGAGGTATAGCTTCTCTCTTCCTTGACCTCAGCACTAGATTGGGGTGAGTGGTCAGCATCACGCCCCGGCCGGCTTTATCCCCGGGAAAGGACCCCGGTACCCATTGTAGAGGAGGCTGGGTGGGCCCCAGAGCCGGTCTGGATGCAGAGGCTAGAGGAAAAATCCTCTGCCCCCGTTGGGGATCGAACTCCGGTCGTCCAGCCCATAGCTAGTCACTATACTGACTGAGCTATCCCGGCTCATTATTAATAAGTAAGGAAATAAAAATTACAAGGCAATGACACACAGTTCATACCAAATAACACGAAAATTAGTCAAATGAGATATAGAGAGAGACAACGTGGTGATATCACAAAAATAAAAGTAGGCTTAAAATCATTGCAGATAGTGGTATAACAGCACTCCTGAAGTGTATTCCGGGCATTAGCTATTCCACAATAAATTTTGTTAGGTTTCATCAATCCCCTCAACAAGTTAAATGCAGGGACAGTACCTTAAATTAGGCTTATGTTATAACGTCTGAAATGTTTAACTGTCAAAGACTGGGCTCATACAGGAGGAGAAAGAAAAAATATACTTTGGTATTAGCATGTTGACCTAGGGCAAGTGAGCTATGTAGTTCATTGGTGGCAAATCTGCAGTTTTTCAAGTAACAGTATCAGACCCTCTTAACCGCGGGCGGAGATAAAAAAGTTTTTCCACACTGATGTTCGGTTAGATAATGAAATGAAACGTATTATAACATGTTCACATTTACATATATCTTAAGACAAACAAAATAACATATCACATATGCAAATCGCAAACCTTTTGACTTCTTGCCATGTTGCTGTACGATATAATAAAGCAAATGCATTCGATTCCTTCAACTCAGATAGTACAACTGATTTTAACGTGCACACAATAATCTCAACCTTCCGGTCAAACTCCTTTTACATCGATACGGCTTTCCACTAACTTGTGAACTGCTACAGTATGTATGAAATGTCATGTGCAAATTTTTCTGCCAATGGAATTAGGGGCCACATATCAGCAATTACCAACACAACTTCCTCCACAACATTATACACTTGACATATCATATTCATGAGTGTGAGTCAGAAACCAACACACAGGTCAGGGAGTATAGTTAATACCAACATTATTTATTCGGGAACATAGGAAACGACATAATATTGACTTCTTGATGGTCTGAGCCTGCGAAGTATTAATACCTGTGAGCAATGTTAACCACAGATAAGATCAACAACCTGTTTCCTTACTGCTCTTCCGCATTACCACTATGAATATAAATATGATGATCTCATGTCTCACACTAAAGCGTTCGAGAAATAATAGTTTGGCCATATAGGAAAATACATTAAAAGAAAGAAGAAAATCAAGTATTTAGTTACAATATTCTAGATTCTATTACGATTACCAAACGTGGATTTGTCAAGTGATGGGAGACTGGAAAATTGCATAATTAGGAATTTTGAATTTGTATTCACTAAATAATAGTACGACTATAAGATTGCGGGGGGGCGTGTAGGATGCATGGGGAATTCGAAATGCCAACATAATTTTGGTCGTAAATTTCAAGGGAAGATTGCGGTTGCAGGGTGTATGTACAGATGGGAGAATTACATTAAAAAGGAACTTCAGAAAGTTGCTATGCTTGTCCAAACATTTATTTGGTTTAGGTTAAGTTGGCTCAGCCACATACGTATCCCAGTGCAAATGCCAGCACATTCACCTGTTGACATTGGTTTTGGCTTTAGCTCACTACCGCCATCTTCTGCACATGTTATTTTTGGCAAATAGTCTCTTACTTTTATGTACATTTGGTTATGAAAATGCACTTTTCTTATTATTTTGGAAAGAAGAGTTTAGAACTCCATCCTCTGGCTACAGCATTATATTTAATTAATTAATAATACTTATGTCTTACTTCATGTACAGTATTACTTGAGCCATTGCTTTCATCAACTCCTGTCTCCATGGTGATTCAACATACAGTGCATCCATATTGCAGTTCTTAGTCATACTGCCATGAAAACTTTAATGTGAACAAGCTTATATTAAAGTTATAAATTCTGTGTGGTTATGTAATTTAATGAATAAACATGGCTGCATATTTTTGCTCACCAGTACAACAAACACAACCAGGGCATATATATGATGACCATATGGAGGTAACAACTGCATGTCAGCTTTTAGTTCAGTGATTGCAATGAAAAATAAGCTATACAATAACCAACTGACATATTTAACATAAAAGTTGTAGCTCTGAAATAAAAACATTCAACTCTCATGAATATGTATATGATGTATTATATTTTTCTGAGAAAATATTACTGAATTATTAACTGACTGGTCATTAACCTTTATGAGAATAGGGTATTTAAATGTCCATATTACAGGACTGGCAGTTAGATTGTACCTCAGAGATTTATCTAATAATGTTATTAGTATTTAGAATGCACATACCTTGATTGTTTTACTAAATCACTGCTGTCATCTTCAATTTTAATATCATGTTGTTAAGTCCCCTGGCATTCCTTTACAAATCTGTCTGACAGTTCTACAGCAGTTTATAACTGCTGTGTGCAAGTCATGAAATGAATCTGGGCAGGGTTGAGAGAGTCCATGTAAAGTTTATGGGCAACCTCTTCCACTCTCTCACTGTCTTCACAGTCTCATGTGTAGTTATCATTGTTTTGTCATCATGGCCAACTTTGTTTCTTGGTTTTGTCATATTACTGTTATCATCTGCTGTCACAGTGTCTTCATCAACCTGTTAGCTCCTGTTAAATTTTTATTCTGTTCCTCAAAATTCATGCTATTATGACAAGAAAAAATTCTATTCTGTTGAGAGAAATAATTTTCTACTAGTTCAACTAATGTAACTAGAACACACAAGTCAGTTTCTTCATTCAAAATTTCTAATAGTGCTCTGGTCTACCATTTCCCAAACACAATCACTGCCTCATTCCAGCACCACCTGGAAACTCAGTTTCTGTATCCAAAATGTCTAGTAGTGCTATGGACTACCATCTGCCAAACACATCCATTGCCTCGTCCCCTCACCACAAACACATGAGTTATTTCATCATCTATTTAGCATTTATATGCATATGCCAATACTGAATAATGACAGGTAGGGGATATATTTAAAAATTTTGACAAACAACAGGCATTAAAAATTCAAAAAACACCATATTCCTGTTAGGAAATGAAATAACAAATGCCAGTTTAATACACAGTACACTTTTGGACAGACAAAAAAAAATATATTACTTTTAAAACAATGGAAAAACTAAAGTGAGTTTAATGAAACAATTGTGTACCCCTGAACAAGCTAATAAAAAGTAGTTTAATCTTTATGTTTTATGAAAATTCTGGTATAACATTCTGTTGTATATTACCAAGAAAAATACCACATTTGGAGCTGTTTCAATTCCATGAACTTAGGAACTTCATCCCTGTATTGGTGAAGAGGAACAGGTGGAAAGAGATAAGCTGAGGTCCCCTGAACCAACTGTTTCTGGAACTTACTGTTATCTACCTAAAAATGTGTCTCAGGAGAAGTCTGGTGTTCCTCAGATGCAAGTACAAGATGGGGTGAGTGTCTGACATAAATATACGAGGTGCGATCAGAAAGTTTCAAGACTGTGTCAATAGAGGGCGAACCGGATGTAGTACCAGCTTCTGCCGCTAAGGGGTTGGGCCTACATTCATAGTGAATCAGTGTGCCAGCCGGCATCATCGAATTAGCATTTGTGTCTTAGTTACGGGCGTTTTGGTAGTGCATTACAC